AATTTTATAAATAAGGAAAGCATTGCCCAGGAAATGTCACTGTGAAAGGCAATTTAGTCAAAGAACACTTTTCCCTCTTCTTTTTGGTGGGGGGTGGGGGGGAGGTGTGGGGAGGTAGAGACCTGGGGAGCAGGTGGGATGGCTGGAAATGAATCTTTCTGACCATGTGTCAGTCTCAGGAGGTGACCCTCTTTAAGCATCCTATATTCCCTTTCCCCTCTCTCCTGGGTGGAGTAGAGAACTACAGAAGGCCAAAGGTCTTCATATTCAAAGCGATCTGGGAGGTCTCTGTCTCTGTTTCCAGTCAGCAAGGACACAAAGAGATTAGCTCAAGAGATTTCAGCCCAGGGCAAAGATACTAGTTTCATATGGCTTCTTTTCTCTACAGAATTAGAAAGCTTAGAAATACAGATTATTAATAAAACTCATAAAAAGCTCTGAGCCCCCAGGTGATCTTTTAAAATGTTTTCCAGCCAATTGAATTCTGTGTAGCTAGTTACCTATCAACTTTCTCCCTCATCCACCTTCTGTACTAGCAAAGATTAATTCAGAATGTAGTAAAGTTATCTTTATCTAGCAGGACATCATTGGAATATAAGCAACCAGTTGGCGAATTTAAAAGAGGAAGGAAACGCTTAGCAGTAAACAATGCTGACTCTGTAGAGGCAGCAGCAGGATACTGTCGTCCCTGCAGCTTTTCTAAGTGGACAGGCATAGCTCTTGGATTGCCTGCCGGGTTTCTTTATATGATGAGCAGCAAGCTAGGGAAAGAAAGAAGCTCCAGCTGCTACAGGGACTAGAGTCAGTCTCCCAGAAAACATCTTCCATCTGTTGCTGTCTTTATGCTCTTTATCTTCCTTCCAAGTAGTTAAAATACTTCCCAGGCTGCCATAACCCTGCATGGTTCAAACCTAACTACATGAGAGTTCTGTCTCTTCTGAGACTATGAAAAGACAACTCCCAGGGTCCTTAGCAAAGTATCCACCCTCACAGGATAACCAGTTCAAGCCTTTCTCTGATTATTACATTCTCCACCAGGATTTAAGATTTACAATGCCTTACTATAGCTAGAGTAAACTTGAAATTTGGAATTATACAGGAAAGCATCAGAATATACAATAGCCCTTAATAGAATAAGGATGATTAACTCACCATCCCAGGTAATCACCTCCAGCTACTCCTTGATACATATTTGGCATCTGTGACAGACTGGTACATTGCACAGCTCAAACTTCTGTCATTGTCTCAAGGGTTGGTACTCTGAAATTTTGTTTCCAATTTTACTGTTGTCATGTTGGATCTCTAATGGCAAGTCACTGAATTTGTCCTGGGTTTGAGCTTAGTAGAACTATGAAATTCAAGGAATTGTGAGCCATTGAGTGGCAAACACTAAAGTTAGAGAGCTGAAATTTATATATTTTTCTACAAATCGATACATTTTGTCTTACTGTGATACTTCCTAACACCCATACAAACCTCTTTACAAAGAACATTCTCCAAGAAAACATTTTGGTTCTGGATAACATAGTGGAAGAATGAGTCCTTTCGTTTTGGCAGTTTCTACAGTTGATCGTTGTATTTGACCAGAGTTTGCCTCTCCATGATGCCTTTGATTATATGATTACAGTCATTGTGTGTGTTGTTCTTTGGCTTCACTCAGCATCTGTTTGTCTTCCCATACTTCTCAGACTATTTCAGAATAGTTATGCTTCACAGAATAGTTAGACTTCTTTGAGTTCATATACAAATAATGTAATCATAATTCCTAAATTGTTGGTCATATATGGGTTATTTTCATTAATGGCTGTCAAAAATTTCCTTGGGATGTGGTCCCAATAGCAATATTTCTTTGTCAGAACAGCAACAATTTAGCATCTTTTCGTGCTTAATTCCAAATTGTTTTCTGGACACATGAGCTAATTCACAGCTCTACCAGGGTGCCTGCCCACAACCAATCCAACAAGGAGTTTTCTCATTTTTTTTAGCTTCATTGGTAGCTTGTAATGTAGCATAGTATGGAGGTTTGGTATTTGAGTGTTGTCTTTATCCATTTCTCAGGTTATTTGTGATTTTGAACATTTTTTCAAGTGGCTATTTATAATTTATGTTTCATTTGAAAACTGTTGTTCAAATCCTTTGGCCACTTCTCTATTAGTGAATGTCTCTTATCTATTTGTGTCAGTTTCCTATAGATTTTGGATGTCACACTTTAATCAGAGATCCAATACTTATGTTTGACGGTGTTATTCAAATGTGGGTTTCTTGTTGTAGGATTGATAGTCTTAGCTTTAACAATCTTGTGGCACCAGATCCTTATACATGCCCCTATAGGGGTCTACTCTCCTTCCTGTGTGTGAGGAAGGAGAGTGGAACATTCAGAGCATAGAATTCTGAGCTGTTATCCTCTCTCTTGAGCCGTTGGTGTCTACCCCCAGCTGATGAGACAAATTTCCCAGCAAGGTCTATGACCCTCCACTTTGTTTGCTCTGCTGAAAGGTGAGGTGGGCTACCTTCAGCTATACTTCAGAAATTATGATAACCCACTGCTATCCATTCTTTGCTGCCCTTTTGCTAAATTTTCCTGCTTTATCCTTTGTCTTCCTGAAGTATAAGTTGCTTAAAATACACCTGTTCTTGGTGTGTCAAAGACATCTATTGAATAAGCTGTCTTTTTTCAAATTTTTCCTATTTTAAGTCAGTGTTTTCCCCATCCGTTCTCCATGTGTCTCAGTCAGTGTAGTGATGAGATTGAGGTAAATATAGGTATTCATTAAATATCTAAGCAGGGGTGGGGAACCTGCAGCCTTGAGGCCACATGTGGCCTTCTAGGTCCTTGGGTACAGCCTTTTGACTGAGTCTAAGTTTTACAGAACAAATCCTTTTATTAAGGGGATTTGTTCTGTGAAGTTTGGATTCGGTCAAAGGGCCACACTTGCGGACCTGGAAGGCCACGTGTGACCTTGGAGCAGGAACTAGGTCTAAAGAACCTAGATAATTAGAACTGAAAAGTCCCTTAGAGGCCATCTAGTTGAATTCTCTTGTTAAAGAGATGAGGAAACTGAGGCTTAGAGGATATAAATGAATCACCTGAGGTTACACAGTAAGTTAATGCCAGAGCTGAGATCAGAACCCATTTATACCACACTGTAGATATGCAGAGGCATCTCCCAGTACGTCTGCTATCTAATATGGGGGAAAAGTTGTCACAATGAAAATATATTCTCTTAAGTATCAAACTAATTGTGCAGTGTACATAAGACATCAGTAATATTTCTAAATGGGCCTCTTGACTGTACCACTGACTATTATAAGATAATAAGATTTTAACATTTGTAGCTTTTATACTTATACTTTATATAATTTTTATATTACTTTTATACTTTTTACTTTTAGTAACAGTTTTAAAAATAGCATTTTTTAGGCATTAACTTTTCCACATGTCCTCATTCATCAACTGAGAATTTTTCTCTGTATCTTATTAATGCTGAATTGCTGCTAAAGTCCTAGTCTGATGCCTCATGGAGGTGACCTGGGGGGTCTTGAAGGCTATTCCAGTGGATTACGAACTGTGACAGGTCCTATCAAGCTGGAAGGACTTTGTATATGGGCCTGGAGGAGGGCCTGTCTTTTGTTTGAGAGCCATCCTAGCTAAGGTTCGGAAAGGCTTATCACCAGAAGGCTGGCCACCAGGTGAAGGATTGTTTTGGCCACAGCAACTCGTGAAGACCATCTACTAAGGCATGGAGGGTTTGTAATCTGCGTATCCACGCTGATGAAATCATGGATCCTTGAAGTAAGTATTACTGCTGAACATGAGATTCAGAGAAATAGCAGCTTGTGCACAGCAACCAAAGTCAGAGTTGGGATTAGAATGCAAAGATTTGGCCTTATACTGATGATATCATATGTTGTTCTAATGCTTCACTGATGATCCTGTTCCACTCCTTACCTTTGGGTCCCAGATGATGAGCAGCAGCAAAGACTCCAAAATGGGACAGTGTGGGCCCCAGAACACATCAACCAAGGATCCAAAGCCAAGTAGGAGATGGGGTTTGTTAGTAGGAGGGAATCTCTGTGGAGCAGCCTAAGATCAGTCAACAGTTAGAGAATGGATGTAGCTTTGGATCCTGCTTCATTTTCTCAAAGTTGGAATTTAGTGTGTGCTAAAATACCGTTTATGGAATTTAAATGACAAATATACGTATTTTTACCTATGATTTATTTGGGTTAAGATCTCCAGCTTAGAGACTGAGTTATCCAAAATACAAGAAGGCAAAAGAGATACCGTTATGAAAAGTCAAGGAACTGTTACAAAAGCAGAAGACTTCCAAGAGGTAAGAACTGCAAAGGTGTGATCCCAGGCTGAATATTAGAACTTAGGAAAAAGAAAAACAGGTCAATGCCCTTCAGTCAACAATTCACCAGCCTTGGGTGAAATTAGTTGCTACAGAATGCTGTCTCTGTGGAGGATAGCTCATTGAAAAGGTACTTACTTAAAAGAGGGGGGTTGGAGCTGTACCAGTAGGGTGCACACAGAGAAATGGCAGGGCTGGGTTTCAGTGGAGTCTAGAAAAAGGTGTACTGTCAGAGTTTGTTATTGTATCCTTGCATCTGCCTGTACTGTTTGATTTACTTGACAGCTATGTACTTGGGAGTGGAGAGGGGTATTTCATTGGCTCTTTGACTTTAATGAAAACATATTCGTATTCTGTAAACATGGAATAGTCATTTAATATTGATCATTTCCCCAAGTAGCTTTTCTAGTTGGGGAGAGAATGTTGTGCTCTTCTGATGCGAAAAAAATTAGGTCCACTTGGCAATTTTAAAAAAAATTGTAAATTAATTTGGTTTTATAATACAAATGAACTTGGGTAGTATAAGCCAATTTTTTCTTAATCAGCTGATTATGAAGCTTAGGTAGTACGTGTTTATCTTCAGAGTTTATTGGAAGAAACTTTTGTTTTGTGGATAGCATTTATAATGAAAGATCATTTTTACAGATAGTGATAATGAACCAAGAGGAAATTGAAGTACTTGAAAGTAAGTTATCAGAAGAAAAAGCATGGAGAAAACAATTGTCATCTGACCTTAAAAAGGCACAGAAGGTTTTGCAGGCTGAAAGTCAGGTATTTTATCATTAAGTACATTATTGGAAGCGTCACATTTTCTTGCTTAGAAAATTCACTGTTTTATTTCTCTTGAATGAATCATAAAATGAAAAGCATATAGAACATAAATTGTTAGTAATAACAATGGACCGGATCCAGTATTCTTTAACTTAGTTCCCTAACTTGCACAGCTGCACAACAGTCCATTGGGTGGCATGCTCTTTATTATTATTGTAGTGTATTGGTGTTGCCAACTGTCCTGTATTAATGGGTGTACTCCTCTTTTTTTAGCATCTTGTCCTGCCATCTTGGAAAAGTCTGTCAGGTTGAATGGTCTGCATTTGAGGAGAAACCAGGAAATGGCTTCATTTAAGTCAGGGTTTGAGAAGTTTCTTTTGAAGCCAAACCTGACTGATTTCAGGATGACAGCCCCAGATTCATCTTCCCACCTGGGGCTATAGATATAGTGCTAATAGAGCTGCTGCCACATCACCTCCTACAATTTGTCCCAGCACTACTTATTGATCTCAGAATTTCAGAGAAATTAAAAATTTCTACCTCAGAGGTGTACATTGTATATGCTCATGAAGTACTAATACTCTGATACATGATTTTAATCAACTTTATTACTTTCTTAAGCTGTACCCCTCGCCATAAAGTTGGTATCCCAGACTGACCCTCCTGTTACCTATCCACCCCACCTGTCAAGCATCATGTTATTTGTTGTATCACCTTAGAAATAGGAGACCATAATTAAACACCTTAATGAAAAGAATTACAAGGGGATTTTGGTTGAATTCTGACAGTTAAGTGAGTGAAAATGTTTTGTTAAGTTATTTTGGGATAGCAGAAAAATTAATAACATATCCAGGGCTTCAGATAATCTTTTCTGTAATTTATAAGTTTTGAAAACTTACAAAAATAGCAGTTTTAATCATTGATTTTAAGTGATTCTTGAACCAGTGATTAAGAGAGGACTTTGCCAGTAAAATGTGTTAGAAGGATAATAAATCTCTGATTGGGATAATTTTAAGAATTCTATTTTAGAAAACCTTATATATTATGTGTGGGGAAATAGTCTCATTTTATTCTACTATTTTCATTTCTTAATCAGGAATTAGAAAGATCAAAGTCAGAGCTTTTGTATCTTTTTAATAAAATTCAAAGTCTTCAAGGGGAAAGAGAAGACAAACATTTTTTTTTCACAGCATATGAAGTACTACAAAGAGAGAATGCTTTTTTAGAAACAAAGGTGAGCTCTAATGAACAAGTAATTGTATGCTCATTGTTTGTCACACAACCCCTTATTTCCATTTCTTTGGAGTATAATAACAGTCAGTAGTCAATAAACATTTATTAAGCAGCTGCTGTGTGCCAAGCAGTATATTAAGCTCTGGGGATACAAAGGAAGGCATAAGAGAGTCCCTGATCTCAAGGAGTTTACAATCACACGGGGGAGACAACCCATGAAAAGAAGCTGGCAAGGGGGAGGCAGGCAGGTCACTGACGTGATGAAGTCCTGATGCCCAGTCAGCAGTGTGGGAATTTATCTGAGGAGGTGAGAGTTTCTGAGTTGATTTCATCTTGCAGAATGATGGGTTTCTGGAGATGATGAAATCAGGAAAGTAGCAGGGTGGGAAATGATGAAGAGAACTCCTGGATACCTTCCTTAAATGGTGAAGGATCTGGGAGGAATTCTCCTGTGCTACTCTCCCCCCTCTCCAATTGGGGGCCAAGGTGCTGAGGATGTGTGTCCCTGCTTTCAAGAACCTGTATTCTACTTGGGGAGATGGTGGGATATAACATTTATAAGTATAACAGACTACCCTGCCCTCACTGTCTGAAGACCAGATAAATTTTATCTTCACCACACCCCCAGAGTTCTCTGAAACACATAAGGGGAGTGAGTAGGCTCTCTGCAAATGCCTCCAATCTCTACCAATGGTATTCTCCAATTGCAAGGGGTGGTCCCCTGAACCTCAGTTCCATTTAACCATTTACAGTCAGATTAGCTTTTACACAGAAATATTTACTTCAAAAGGTATAATAAAAAATATACAAACTTACTTTCCCAACATGTGATAGGCATAATCCCTTCTGCTTTGACCACCTCAGTTCCTATAGATCACAGTTCCACTTCTAAGATAAAACTCCTCCTAGGTTCAAGTCCCAGGCCCCGTGGCTTCTCAGGGCTTCAAGTTTAAATTTCAGCAAATGAGATTTAGTTTAGAAATCAGAACTGTCTGCAAGCATGAGGAAGGGTGTTGGGATAATGTGTTGTATATTTTAGGATATGTCAATTTGAATTTTTCACTATAAAATTCAAGATTCAATCTATACTCACAATGAAGATTGAATCCCTAAAAAAAATCTTGATCTCAGATTAGTTCCCCACTGAATTCATTTTGGGAAGATTACTAATTTAAAAGGATATCTTAAATATCTCTAGTTTAAAAGGTTCAGGTTAAAAGCACAAGGTAATTGGAAAATGTCTAAATGTATGGCTGAGCCCAAGTTTCTTCTTAAAGTTAAAGAATGGCTCTAGGAACAGAGCCAGAACCAGGTCCATGTTAAAAGCTTACTTCACAGTGTGATTTCAGGGGTTCTGTTTTTAAAAATTTTTTTTTGTAGGATTAAAACAATGTGTTCTGAAGTTTTATACTCTTCACAGAGTTTTGTTCCCAATTTCCTAATGTAGTTTAGTTATCCATTAAATATTCATATGCTACATACAAGTGGATATGAGAGAAAAAGATTCATGTTATAGTGAACATTTTGCTACTATCATTGAAAACTAAAGATACTAAATAAAAGATAATCCTACAAAACAAAAACAAAAACAAAACTCTGAACTTGAAGAGAAGACATTTCTTAAGAACAAAATTCCTTTCATTCCTATCATTTTGGTTGAAAACATTTAGATCTCAATAGTCCCCATCATCCTCCTTCTTCTCAACAGCCTCCAAAGACTGTCTACAATCAGACCCATACTTTTCTGTTCTATTTGGCCAGCTCTAGGTAAAGCTGTCATGGAGGCATAGCTTGTAGATGCCAACCTACACCCTGACTTTAGGGAACTTCATGGAGCTACAAAACTGGAAGAGCTCCAGGAAAGCAGGGACCATGTCTTTGCTAAACTAAATTTCTCCCAGCATCTAACAGATAGCTTTGCACTTAATAAATGTATGTTGAATAAATGATGTCCCCAGCTCATCCAAGCCTCCTGCTGTGATGCTTGTATCCAGGCTGACCAACTCAGACAACATCCTCTGAACCTTTCCTCCCTCCCACCAAAACATGCTTACTGCCCATCCTCCTCCCAATTCCATAGTCATTGTTTATAAAGTGACAGCTTGATAACCTATTTAACTAATCTATGCTGAAGTAATCATGGATAATAATATTTTCATGGAGAGGCCTCCCTTCCTTTTCTATTCTTCTCCCTTCTCTGATAGCAACACACTTTAATAGTTATTTTCTGTTACCTCCCCATGCTCCCTAATCTTTTTTTTGTCCTCAATTAAGAGAAAGAACTCTAAGACATGGGATTTTAGGCCAGGTAGGCAAGGAGGATAGTACCAGAGAAGATTGATATGGATGAGCTAGTTGGGGAAGGCAGGGCTCTGTTGACATCCTTGAACATTTAATTGAAGAAGATGGTAGATACCTATAGCAATGCACGTCCCCCCGCCCCCCGGCCAAAGCACAAAGCACAAGGGGAAAATAAGTAAATAGAAAGCATGGTGTAAAACTTAACTAAACCGGAGCATGCAAAGAGCATTTATAGATTAAGTTGTTGGGAGGGTAGCAAGTGGACAGAAAATGACAGAGAGTGGCCAGCTTTCTATAGTGATATATTCATTAATTAATTTATTGATGACAGTGTAACTAATGCTGAGTTTGGACTCCAATACCTTAGTACTCTGTATTTTCTGAGGAAATGGGAATGGCACGTGAGATGAAGTTGGGAAGAGCTGGTGGACTAGCTCAAGAATTCCCAGAAGAAAACCATGCTGGAGCAGATGTGATTTTGGAAGTACTGTAGGTTTGATTATCAGAATGCCTGGAGGAGTGGTTAAAAAAGGAATAAGAAAAAGTCATGGATGGCATTCTTATTACCAGAGAAATCATAGTCATAGCTCACACTTGCATAGTAATTTAAGATTTGAAAAGCACTTTGCAAAGTTGCTGAAGTGGAATTCAAACCCAGTGAGATTCAGAATTCCTGAGAGTCCAATGCTCTATCCACTGTGCTACTATGGGGCCTTCACAAATAATTGAGGGGACATCAGCCAGCAGCTATCAAGCCATGTTCCTATTTTCTAATCTCTTTCTTTGAAAATGCGGTGATATCCTTGGATAGCAAATATATTGGTTATTCTTGATGAAAAAATGAGAACTGTATGAGCAGGCTTTTCTAATTTTCTCCAGCCACTCACATCTTCATAGTTACACAATTAACTGAGAGTTATGCTTTGATTTATTTTTCAGTAATTACAAAATTACAAATAAGCATTTGACTCATAAAGAAAAACTCAGCCAGCTTTCTTCCAGCAAGATGTCTCCCACACATATATTAAAATAATACAAGAGTACCTGATAGGTGTAATCGCAGAAATGACTTTGTTCATTTATACTCTTTACTATTGTTATCAAGTGAGGCATGACACAGAAGACTATTTATTTGCCAAAAGTGTTCACCACTATCATGGAAAATGTCCTATACAGCAGAATCTAAATGAGAGATTCTCTATAAATGTGGAGCCCCTACAAAACCCCATATTTTAAACACCGGTCATCTTCCTGTGACTTTATATAACTGTGAATTATGGAATATCATAATCTGTGAAAAATGAAAATTCAAATGCAAAGGGCAAAGGCAAGACATATGGTGAGTCTAAAAAGGGGAGGAAGAAAACAAGCATTTATTAAGCACCTACCAAGTGCCAGATATTGTGCTAAGCACTTTACAAATATTATTTCACATGATACTAGTAGTAGCCTAGGTCACAATAATGTGGCCCATTGCTAATGATGCCTTATGTACATAATATGACATAAAATATACTATCTAAGAATTTTATAATTGAAAAAGGAAGTAGGCCAATCATGGAGCAAGAATGAAGGATAACAAATGGGTAGTTGAATATTTAACTAGTGCCTACAAAATGTCTAAAGGCCTCCAGCCTGTTGGGGTGATCCTTTTTTGAGAATTTTTGGGAAAACATGGACAAGAATCAGAAAAGATAAGAATGTGTAGTAGAGTTGTGATTCACCTTGTTGAAGATAGTTCTCATATTGATAAAATCATAGTCACAGTTGAATAAAGTATATTTCAGTATCTTTCCATACCTCTTTCATGCAAGCTGGTTTATTTTTCCGTAGTATTAGTTTAAGCACATTTTTTCCATTCAGTTCAGTTGTTTTTCTGTTGTGTCCAACTCTTCATGACCCCAGTGGGGTTTTCTTGGCAAAGATACTGGAATGGTTTGTTATTTCCTTCTTCAACACATTTTACAGATGAAGAAACTGAGTCAAACAAGGTTAAATGATTTGCCCAGGGTCACACCACTAGCCAAATTTGAACTCAGAGGATTGGTACTCTGTGTACTGTATCATCTAGCTGCCATTAAAATAAAGAGTTCTTAAATGCTCAAATGGGTCTCTGATCTCATAGATTTGGAAAATTCTTTGAGTGATGCAAATCAGAACTCATCCATGCTTGCTCATCCTTATGTGACCCCATGAATTCTCCCCAGAGGTATGGAAATTCTCTACTCAGCATGCTTGAGGACAGCTTCACTTTCTCCTGAAAATTACAGGGTGCCTGTATATGCATATTTGCTGATGGAAAAGCTTTATAAATTGTCCATCTAAATTGCACTGTCATAATCTGGACAACAGACATTCTTCATCCACTTAATTTTTCCTGTGTGGACCATTAGGCCAAACTCTTTCTGAACATAAATAATCAGATAAAGCAGGGAAGCATACTCATTACAAGTCTTTGCCTCTGTATTAAGGAGGAATGCTTCAAATACCTCTTTTTTCATTGATGATTAAACTCAGTTTTGCATTTTAGGCTTTTTTGCTTTTCAGACTATGTAATTCCATTGCCTTCTGAAGTTTTTGGTAGGTGCAAAATAGTCTTGTGTTATTTGAATTTATGTTCTATTAAATTTGAAGGGTTTTTTCTTGATAGCATGAAAAATTTGTTGTCATTAGAACTGTTAAATTTCACTATGTTTCTTGAAGTTTAAAGAATTTTTTTTTGTTTTTTTTTTCCCCTGAAAGCAATTTGTGGATTCTTTTGGTTAATGCTTTTTTCTGTATTCAATCGTTATGGTCAGCTTTCTTATAATATTTTTTGCATCATGGTGTTCAGGTTTCTTGACTTGCCATATTCTTCTGGGAGGTGTGTGATCCTTAAGTTGTCTCTTTACATCCTGACTTCAAGATCAACGTGTTTTGCTTGTATCACATATGTTTTTTTCAGTGTTACTTTAATACTGCTTTATATCTTCTTTGGAGATGCTCCCCATTGTGGATTCAAGTTTTTTTCTGTTCTACTAATTTTTTCTGCTGTACAGACTATTAATTTTGCCATTTGCTGTCGTCTAAATTCTTCTCTTAAGCTTCTGATTTCTGTCTTGAACCATTCTGGAAATTCTTGCTGGGGTTCCATACTCACTTGGGAATTCATGGGGTTCTGTGTTTCAAATATTGTTTTCATTTTCTTTGCCTTGCAATATTTGTTAAGAGATATTTGCCCTCTTAGATATCTTGGTAGTCATCTTCCTTTTGATTTTCATATCTGCCCTGTTGATTTATCTGTTTGCTTTAGGTTTTTAACTGACTTTTCTCCCTTCTGTGATCTTTCATAGTTTTGGTCTTTTCCCCTTTATCTTTCCCCACTGCTCACTTTCGGACTCCTTCCTCTTTGATAGTGGGTGTACTTCTCAGGGTTGGACCTCAAAGCTATCTCAACTTCCTCCCACATTGGGAAATTCACTTTTCAATGGCCCCAGTCTGTGCCCCAAGTAACTTCTGGGGGGACAGGACTGATCCCATCTAGATGCCATTCCCATTTCCCTTAGGCCCAGTAAAGTCTCACGCAATGGGCCCCTGCCCTGGTTTCCTCTGTATTTTTTTACTTCTCTGGCTTGGTTTAGTCAATGTCTGCTATTTTCTGCAGGCTTGGGGGTGGGTATTCTGGGCAGAATATCTGTCATCTTGAGGTTTCCTAACCTACGGGGCACCCCAGGCAGAATCTAGTCCTTCCCTCTTATATATGTCCTCCTGCACATGTGGCTAGGTAGAACTGAATTCCTCCATTTGTTATAACAGAACACTGGGGGAAGTTAGGGGCAGTATGTGTTAGCAGAGACTTTAGAAGGAGGGAAATTTTTAAGCTGGTCCCAAAGTACAACAAAGTAGGTTGGTTTGTGCAAAAACTCATGGTCATCATCACATTGTGATTAGACAACAGTGGAGGCTTGGTTGTACAAGTCCAAATCAGCTTGAGAAGATCTCTGGCAAGGCAATGACATCCATGTGGATTCTGTTTCTTGTAGTTTAAGGGTATCACTTCTCATAGCAAGAATTACATAGCTTTTAATAGAGGGTTTAATTGCATAATTTATGAAAGAGTATAAGATAAAATTGCTGAAGTTTTCACTTTAACTCTACAGGTCTTGAAGCTTTCACGACAATGTGAGCACTTAAATCAGTTAGCCATGGGGGTAAAAGCTGCAGATCCTAATGCAGTGATAAATCCAGGAATGTCTAAAGATCATACACTTGAAGAACCAAGTCAGAGCCTGAGGGGGGAAAGACAGCAACCATGGTAAATTTAGTAAATTTTATAGTATCATCAGCATTTCAAAAATTGAATTTTATTTGAGTGGATCATTCCTAGAGTTTCACTTTTTTCTTGGATGTTATAAATGCTATGAATGGACCAATTAATTATAAAGTTTGCCCAACTATTTTTTGTCTAAATTTTGAGAACCATTTTTGTAAATGTCTTTTCTTCCTCTAGCTCTTTCCTCTATTTTCATTAAAACCCTAGATCCAGTAGTAAAGGTTTTTGTTTTGTTGCCTTTTACCTTGGCTAAATGCGTGGCTATGTTTTAGGGTCAGTAAGACTGACATAGGCAAAAGATATCTAAGCCACAACTAGGTTATAACAAGATAATGGGATGATTGAGGCTCAATCTAATTTGGCTTTTGGATTCTATACCACATGAAACTGCAGAAGTGTGGCCTACAGGCAGCTCCAGAGGACATACCAACTGATTTTCAGGGGTGGAAATTGATAAAAGGGAACTCTGTTGTTAGTCATGTGACTGACCAAGTGCACTGCCTAAGATCTACTTAGAAAGTAGATCAACACTTGATGCTGAGCATGGAATATTTTGATGACAAGATAGATTAGTGCTTGGCAACTGATCAGGAAAATTTCCAGAGAAAGATGCAATTTGGAGGAGGGTTGTGATAGGTGGAGAGGAAGAAAGGGCAGAAGGCATTCTTGAAAAGAACAAGATGAATAGCACAGGGCAGGTTCATGATACAAGCCAGTTAACTGGTTTGACTGAAATAGAGGTTTCCCATGAGGGGAGGGGGTTAATGGGAGAGAACTCTGGCAAGGCAAAGAGGTGCCAGCTTGGGGAATTTGAACTTTTTCCTGTAGGCATTCTGAAGGAGAGGAATAGTTATTTGTTCCCTTTGGTTTAGTTAATACAATCTATTTTGCCCTTTTCAGAGAGGGAGGATGATATACTGGAAAGACCATTGCACCTGAAATTAGAAAAGATCTAGTTTTAAAGTCTAGTTCTGATGCTTACTAGATGTATAACCTTGGGCAAGTCACTTGAAACTCAGTTTTCTCATCTCTAAAATTAGTGGTACAGTGGATTTTGTAAGATTGTTTGGGAAAATTGCTTTGCAAAACTTAAAGAATTATTATCATTGTCATTATTATTGGTATGTTTGCATTTTAAACCTTATCTCTAATTGTGTATTAGAAGGCTTTGCCTTCTCAAATCATTTTTAAGAAAATGCAAGGCATCAGTCAGAAAAATGGGAGATTTTGCAGAGCAGGGGGCCCCCTGAAATCAAGCCACATAAATAGTTATCTACTGTAAATCACTGAGTAACAGATACAGAATTATGAAAGAAGATGAGAGGTTAAGTTATAGAGGTAGTAGAGGCTTAGAGATGAAGTTAATGAGAGCTTTAGATGTTGTTAATATTAGTTCCTTAAATCCTGGCACTATGTGATAGAAACAATGTTTGAGGAAGGTTGGTTTAATATCAGTGTATTTAGATAGATTGGTGTGGGGAAATAGTACAGATAGAATAAGGCTGTGTACAAGCATTGTGTACTGATAGGACTCCACAATTAATTATGGCGTCTGTTAGTGTCACTGGTTAGCTGGGCTGGTTTTAATTTATTATCTCTTTGCAAACAGTCTAATGCTGGAGGGCAACTGGGATAGAGAAGGCACTGGTTCCCATTCCCATGAGGATTGGTTGAAAGAACTGGAAAAGAGATGAGAGCTATCTATAAACATTTAAAGGGCTCATATTGAAAAGGGATTGGACCAGCTCTTCTCGGTATGAAAGGCAGATCCAGGAACCCTGGGTGGAAGGTCCAGAGAGGCAAATCTAGGCCTGATAATATTTTCCCAAAAATTAGAACAATCCAATAGTGAAATAAACCACCTTAGGAGGCGGAAGGTTTCCCTTCAGTGGAGGCCTTCCAATACAGGCAGAATTATCCCTTGGAGACGATGTTGTAGAAATTGTTCATAAGTTGGACTGTTGAGATTTTGTCAGTCTCAATCAGCCACCACCAAGGGATGAAGAAGATGATGAATTCAGCCTCATTCTCCCCTTATTGCTTACAAAATGGTCCCAAGCCCAGCCTAATGATTCAGTGTCCACTGCTGCCATGGAAAACACTTAGCAGCATTGGTGCAGCCCTGAGCGGGCAGGCATCCTCCAGTAGCCAGGACTCCACTTGCTGCAGTGTAAGCAAGGGCAGTCAGGTATGTCCTGGCTGCTGGACATCTAGGTGCTTCAGCACAGCCCAGGGCAATCAGGCATCGTCCAGGGGCCAGATCTCCATGTACTTGAAGTGTCGCCCCGGGGAAACAAAGAAAAACCCACCTGGCCTCAGCACACACAAGATACCACCATTAGGATCCCAGCTCAGCACCAGGTAAGCTGCCAGACTCCTACAGCCTCCAGCCGCCAGTACCTGAGGCCGCAGCACACAAAGCCAGTGACCAGGCTCCTGGCCCCCAGCACAAAAAGCTTGGGACAGTGCCCCTGTGTTCCTGCAGGAGAGCTCAACTTTAAAAGCTAGGAAATAAGCAAACAAGATGAGCAAAAAGCAAAAAAGAACCTTGACCGTAGAGAACTTTTATGGTGACAGGGAAGATCAAAACACAATCTCAGAAGAGGACAACATTGTCAATTTACCTACATCTGAAACCCCAAAGGGGAATATGAATTGGTCTCAAGCCCAAAAAACCTTCTTGGAAGAGCTTAAGAAGGATTTTAAAAGTCAAATAAGAGAGATGGAAGAAAAAATGGGGGAAAAAATGAGCGGTATGCAAGAGAGAGTCAATAGCTTGGAAAAGTAAGGACAAAAATTGACTGAAGAAAACAACTCCTTAAAGTAGAAGTGGCCAAATGGAAAAGGAGGTGCAAAAGCTAACGGAAGAAAATAATTCCTTAAAAATTAGAATTGGGCAAGTGGAAGCTGATGACTCTCTAAGACATAAAGAATCAGTCAAACAAAATCAAAAGAATGAAAAAATAGAAGAAAATGTAAAATACCTCATTGGAAAAACAACTGACCTGGAAAATTGATCCAGAAGAGATAATTTAAGAATTATTAGACTACCTGAAAGCCATGATCAAAAAAGAGCCTGGACAGCATCTTTCAAGAAATTATCAAGGAAAACTGCCCTGATATCCTAGAACCAGAGGGCAAAATAGTCATTGAAAGAATCCACCTATCACCTCCTGAAAGATCCCAAAATGAAAACTCCAAGGAATATTGTAGCCAAATTCCAGAATTATCAGGTCAAGGAGAAAGTACTGCAAGCAGCCAGAAAGGAAAACATTTAAATATTGTGGAACCAGAGTCAGGATTACATAGGACTTAGCAGCTTCTACATTAAAGGATATGAGGGCCTGAAATATGATATTCTGAAAGGATTACAACCAAGAATCAAGTGTCCAGCAAAACTGAGTATAATCTTTCAGGGGAAAAGATGGACATACAATGAAATGGGGGACTTTCAGTTGTTCCTGATGAAAAAAAAAAAAAAAGAGATGAGGAGAAGCTTTGATCTTTAAATTTAAGACTCACGAAAAGCATAAAAAGGTGAACAGGAAAGAAAAAAAGAAACATGTTATTCGATAAGGTCAAACTGTTTACATCCCTACATGGGAAGATGATACTTGTAACTCTTGAGAACTGTATCTTTATTCTGACATTTAGAATGGGTATACATAGACAGAGGGTGTGGGTATAAGTTGAATTTGAGGTGATGATAAAAATAAGGGGTGAAAAAAAGCATTGTACTGGGAGAAGAGGAGAGGGGTAGACAGAATTGGGTAAATTACATCACAGGAAGAGGCACAAAGACCTATTACAATAGAGGGAAAGAAGGGAGGGAGTGAGCATTGTTTGAACCTTACTCTCATCAGATTTGCTCAAAGAGAGAATAGCATGCACATTCAGTTAGTTATAGAAATCTGTCTTACTCTATAGGGAAGTAGGATGAGAAAGGGGAAAGAAAAGGGAGGGGATGGATAGAAGGGAGGGAAGATTAAGGGAAGTCATGGTCAGAAGCAAAACACTGGTGAGGAGGGAAAGGGTGAAAGGAGAGAGAAAAGTATAAATGTTGGGGAAATAGGATGGAGAAAAAGACACAGTAATCATAACTGTGAATGTGAATGGGATGATCTCTCCCATAAAATGGAAGTGGATAGCATAATGGATTAAAAAACAGAATCCTACCATATGTTGTTTACAAGAAGCACATTGGAAGCAGAGATATACACACAGAGTAAAGGTAAAAGGCCGAAGCAGAATATATTATGATTCAGCTGAAGTAAAAAAAAAAAAAAAAGCTGGGGTAGCAATCCTGATATCAGACAAAGCAAAAGCAAAAATAGATCTAATTAAAAGAGTTAAGGAAGGAAACTGCATCTTGCTAAACAGTACCAAAAAACAATGAGGTAATATCAATACTAAACATATATGCACCAAGTGGTATAGCATCCAAATTCTTAGAGAAGTCAAGTGAGTTACAGGAAGAAATAGCAAAACTGTACTAGTGGGGGACCTCAACCTCCCCCTCTAAGAACTAGATGGATCTAACCACAAAATAAATAAGAAGTTAAGGAGATGAACAGAATTTTAGAAAACTTAGATATGATAGACTTCTGGAGAAAATTAAATGGGGGAAGAAAAAAATATATACCCTTTTTGTCAGTGGTACTGGTACCTATGCAAAAACTGACCATGTATTAGGGCATAAAAATCTTACAACCAAATGCAGAAAGGCAGAAATATTAAATGCATCCTTCTCAGATCAGTATGCAATAAAAATTATGTGTAATAAAGGGCCATGGAAAGATAGATTGAAAATTAATTGGAAACTAATCTAATCCTAAAGAATGAGTGAGTCAAACAGCAAATCATAGAAACGATAACTTCATCAAAGAGAATGACAATAATGAGGCAACATATCAAAACTTGTGGAATGCAGCCAAAGCAGTTCTTAGAGGAAATTTTATATCTCTAGATGCTTACATGAATAA